CTGGATACTAGAGATCATGGACTAAACATAGACATTGGATTTTTGATACATTATAATCTGCCTGGCAACTGACTCCCCAGCCCAGCCCCTGGCTTCTTTACTTTTCATTCCATCCAGGAAGAGCACACACCAACTGCTGAAACTTCCTTAGCCTGACAGAGTTTTTGAACTCGAAAGCTTGCTTAACTATTCTCCAACTATTTGGGTTGGTCTAATAAAAGATATCAAATTCACCCAAGGAACCTTGTCTGCCTATGTCCTTAGACCAACATGGCTACAACCTAAACCCCTGTAACACAGTAGCAGAAAGGAATTAACACCTAGGAAAGCTGCAGATCAACCAACGGAAGAAATCAATAGAAGACAATGTAGCAACCGGGAAATCTCTAAACTTCACTGTTCAAGGGCTAGAAGCCCTGGTCTGAGTTAATCAACGCCGGGGACCAACTTTTGGGTTGAATATCTCCAGATCGACCACTCCCAGAGCCCTATTCAAAACTCATCAATGAACTCCCAAACTTGTACGTACATGCGGACGACCCCTGGGGCTGACAGATGCCATCCAGTAGCCATCGAGGGGGAAGTCCCACGACGGTCAACGACCCCTGGATTGGGCAAACCTGAAAACTGGGGAGTCACCAAAGTCTGCCAAGGACAGATAAAAAGCAGTGAAAAGTGACCCTCAGGGGTGCCCTCTTGATCTCCAACTTGACCAGCACCCGACTTGTCCAGCCAGAAGGACCAGCTGGCGACCCCCTTCTGGAAGATAACACCACGCTGGAAGAAGCCTCAACGGCAGACTCCAGCACCTGTGGGATAGGTATACCTGACTCTTATAGCTTGCTACTGTGTGTGTGTGCATGTGTGTGTGTGTGCGTGTGTGTGTGTGGGGACCAGCCCCAAGGTTTATGATTTAACTTCATTACAGTGCTTCAATCCGCCTAATAAACCAGAATTTTAAGGATCCTGAGTTGGACATTTGTAGCCAACAAAATGTTTTCCTCCAATTCAATTAACCATCTAAAAATATGTTTTTGTCTCTTCCTGATTTAGGAGTTTTCAGGGTGGGGAAATGAAGTATGCAAAATATATGCAAAGTAATTCATTCATATTTCCACCACCTATTACACTTTTTCACTATAATTTCATTTTTTCTACTGATTGCCAAATGAATCCAGAGTGATTAAAAAAAATGCTAGTTAAATATATTTTCTTCACTCAGTGCAACTCAAATCTTCCTTGCCCTTGTTAAACTATTTTATTCCATAGTTTATATTTAACATTTGATTTTTAAAAACATGTATGGAGAAGTAAAGAATAGAATCCAGGTTCCCCGAATCCCAGTCCAGTGCTTCCCAATAGAGCTGGGGTGGGCAATGTTTTGGGATGGAGGACCACTTAAGGAGCTTTGGTGAGCTGTTGCAGGCCGGTCTGCCCCCCCACAATAACTCACCAAAACTCCGTAAGTGGTAGATTACTAGACGCTGGATGGAGCAGGCAGGTGGGAGGGGTCTTCATGGAGACTGGCTCAGGACCCCCGTGAGCAGGGTGCGCGGCTAGGTGGATAGCATGGGACTGTGGGCAGGCGGGGAGCAATGTCTAGGAGCAGGACTGGCAGGTGGTGCTGAGGCCAGGGCAGGAGCCAGGATTGCAGGGCAGTGACAGCATGGGGCCAGGGCCTGGGACAGAACCGTGATCCACTCCTAGCATGGCCCCGCACTGTCACCATGCCGTGATCCCAGCCCCCTCTTGCCCATCCCCAGGCACCACTCCCTGCCTGCTTGCAGCCCCATCCTATCCACCTGCCTGAGTGCGCCCTGCCTGGTCTCGGACCAGTTTCTATGCAGACCCTGCATACCCGCTCTGTCTGGCATCCCTGGCAGTAGGTGCAGGGTGAACGGGCTAGGGTTCCCAGGCAGCAGGGCCAGCTCCGGCAGCGGTGGCAACACAGGCAGGGGCAGCCAGAAAGAGCTGCCGCTGCCTGGGCTGCTGGGAAGCAAAGTCTGGTACTGTATCGCCCCAGCCCCGCTTTATGCTCGGGGCGGTGGAACCAGCACCATGCCCCATGGCCTGGGCTGCCCCCTGTGCCTGGGCCAGGTGGGACTGAGGGACCTGCTATGGGCTGGATAAAATCTCTTGCGGGCCATTTTGCTCGCCCCTGTAGACCATGCTTCCTCTCTCAATCTTAAGTAAAACAAGCTATGTTTATTCTGCAACTGAATTATTGTGCAGATAACGACACATCAGGAATCTTGATTTTCTAGATGACCTTCCTTGACATCTTTTGATGGACATGATGAATAAAATATCCTAATTGAATAGAATACCACAATATGTAATGTTTTTCTTTCTTAAGCATCATATTGAAAAGGTACTTTTTAGTAGTCTATGTAGAAAGCCTGAGAATTAATTGAGTCATTTTTCTGATCCACTGCCTTCCACCTACACATAATGAAAAATACTTTAAAAAGCCTTTTCCTTCATTAATAATCATTTGTCTGCTTTTACTGCCATTTTTTGTTGTTGTTAGCAATCAACTATACATGTAGTCTAGGCTTAAAGTAGCTTTAATCCTTATAAGTATCACATTTCTGTGTTAGTATTTTGTAAAAATCTTCTGTGGGACCTGGAAATGTTCTGCAAACGCAAGACAACATTTTTAGATCACATTGTACAAAATACATTTCACAATATGAGAAGTGCCTTCACTAATGATTATAAATAATGTAGCACCATAACCCATGTTCTTTACTTGTATTCCAGTACAAATTATTGAATGCTCTCATTACTTTGTTGTTCTCCTCTTTCACATTCAGTTCTGTTTGGTTTTAATGCCATTGAGTCATCATGACT